TGTGAGATCATATCTACACCCAGCGTGTCCCAATAGATAATTTAATTAGTTAAAAATATAAAATTTTAAGTTAAAAATTTAAAATTTAAATTAAATAAAAAAATTTAAAAAGTTAACTATCTCCTCTTATATACTAAAAAAAAAAAAGAGCTACACCCAGCATGACAAGCGAAGTGTAACCGCCATTCGTTGAAGAGGAACAAAGGCCGTAGGAAACTTTAAAGCCACCTCAGCTTTCAATGTCACCACCAACTACTATATATATCACATGTCACTTGTCTGGCCATCCGACAGAGTGGCAACATGCCCTCTTATGGTACAACAGTCCAAAATCCCCGAGTGCCTGTTGTTGGATACATGACGTCACCCATTATGTCACCCCTAAATTTTGTCCTATGACTGTGTCACCTTCATTTGAAAATCCCGTGTATAAATTGTGTGCCAGCTCACATGCCATGTAGTCATCCACCTTATATAAAGCTAAAGTTCCATTCATCAGTCAGCACTCTTCAAATTAGACTCCCGTCAGCTCTTCGAGAAAAACAGTAGCAGCGCGTCAGGAAGCAAGGTTCAACTATGAAACCCAAACTCAACACCGCCGACGACTCCACCCAAAACACCAACTCTCCACTGCCATCCCTCCGCCTTTCTCGTGAGCAAGAACTCTCCGTCATGGTCTCCACACTCAGGAACGTCATCTCCAGTAGTACCGACACCAACACCATCGCCGCCACCATGGCTATGGATTTCTCCCCGGAATTTGCTTCCTCTAGTATGGTTGGTCTTACCCATGAAGCTAATAGTTCAGGGACAGTGCTCTCGGTGTCTGATTATATGGATAAGTGCCCTGTGTGCAAAATAGACGGTTGTTTGGGGTGCAATTTTTTCTCGCCAAATAAACAAGAAGAGAAGAAACCGACAAGGAAACGAGCAAAGAAGAATTTCAGGGGAGTAAGGCGAAGGCCATGGGGGAAATGGGCAGCTGAGATTCGCGACCCACGGCGCGCCGCCAGGGTCTGGCTCGGAACATTCACAACGGAAGAGGAGGCAGCGCGGGCCTATGACAGAGCCGCCATTGAGTTCCGTGGACCCAGAGCAAAGCTCAACTTCCCATTTTCAGATTATAGAAACGATGACAGCAGTAACATCGGCAGTACCTCAGCAGCAACAACAGTTCATGATGGTGGGGAGAACACATCGGAAAACGGGCAACGCAGAACTGATGATGAAGTGGAAATAGCGATGGAATTTGGGAAAGAAAGTGAGTTTTGGGGTAATGGAGAAGATGAGATTCAGCAGTGGATGAAGAAGATGGTGGACTTTCCAGTTGATGATTCTTCCGATTCTACAGGTAATGCCAACAGTTATTAAAGGGTATTTCTTAATATTAATTCAATAAAAGAGAGATCAGTCAGACTAAACTAGTGCATTCAGAGCAAGAGTGTAATAAATTCCAAGAGAGAAGTGAGAATTACTGGGCTTTTAATATTGGGGTTGTGATTCTTGTGAAGCTCTTTCTTTTATTATTTGCAAGAAAGAGTTTAGTGTTTAAAATATTTAGTGGAACTTAATAAATTCAGTTAATTTTGTAAAGTTCTTCCTTGTAATTAATTAGCATTATGATAATCTCAACAAGTGACTCAATGGTTAAAAATTTAAGATTTCAAGTTAAAAATCTTAAATTTAAGCTTTGAGTTAAGTAAGAGAGAGTTGAGAATAAAAAATTATTATTATTTTGTATAATTTATAATCAAAATAATATAAAAATAATTGTATTTGTGTTATGTACTTTTCCTTTCAGAAATTCTTTTTTAAGTTTACAGGATTTTATTGGGTTCTGGATATGTTTGGCTTCCGAGAAAATGCAAGGTAACGGTGGAACCCACAAATGGAATTTTTAATTGATGAAATCATTTCGCATGAGGAAACAGGTGTTTTGGGACATTCTTTGGTGTTTTGGGACATTCTTTGTTGTTTTGGGACATTCTGTAGAAATTAGAAGTGCAGTCTGGGTGTCGTTATCGTGGACCATAAGACTATTAAATACATGTAAATTTTGTGGGGTTGGATTGATATTTTATTAATTTTTAATTTTTAAATAATTAATTATAATATTTAAAAATATTAATTATAAGTTTATTTTTATTAAATAAGTATAATAATAAATATTAATTATATTTAACAAATAAATTA